CAGTTTTCATCAAGTTGCTTTTCAGCCGAGAGCAAGGGGGCTCTAGAAAGTCACCCTATCACGGCTGCTGATCCCTACCCTAGCTATTGCTGCTAAAATTATTACAGCCCAAAAACCTAGCATCCTAGCTTAGTATTGGATAAGCTAGGCAAATGCTGGGAGCTTCTTCCTTTGCTCTGGACCACTGTTCAGGAGGAAGACCTTGGTTTTCTATCACTGAGCACTTGATAGAAATGGTTTGCCGGTCCTTACTTGCACAGCTGGCTTTGGAGAAAGTGCTCCAAATATCCCTAGCTGAACCTTCCACTTTCTCTAGGCAAGCACCTAGCTTTGGAGAATCGTTTGATATAGCTGCTATAGCACTAGCCTTCAGGAAAGCTAGGGAGATAGGCTTCAAGAAGCTAAGCCAGTGAGAAGAGCTTCTCTTCCTTTCCCAAAGCTACAGCTTGAGTACAAGGCTCTCCAGCTTTTCTCTAGCTGAGTATTCGAATTCAAACTGATACCCTTTACTATCATGCCATTGCTAGAGCTAGCCTGGAGCTGACAGGTCTGACCGTCTCCTGCAACTAAACATCTGGCTTGCTGAAATGCTCATAGTCCTTTGCTTTTCTGATCATTCCCAAAGACATAGCCGAGTAGGAAGCTATACATCTCTTCAAAAGTGGAACAGTGTGCTTTAGGGATGTTCAGGGACATTCTCCCTGCCTGAGCTATTATTGCCACAGATATAGGTAAAGCTATAGAGGTCGGGAAGACTAGGCTGTGGAGCAGAGAATCTGTAGGACTTCTTTCTGGCTAAGCTTCAGAGATATTAGAAAGATCCAGCTGACTATCCTGCAACTCCAAGAGTTTTATTCAGGTGGGCAAGATATTGGATGTGTCCTTATTGGGAAGACCCTCAGAGCATTCCGGATGGTTGGGAGTTAAGATGGTGAAGAGGGTTACTAATTTTGCAGTTAAAAGAATCTCTGTCTATCAGCCAGTCAATCAACCAATCTTCTAAATAACTATCACCCTTAGAAACATTTTAATAAATCACCACCCCTATCTCATAAACAATATGAAAAATAATGTTAACTAAACAGGACAATTAATTTATCAGGTACTATATTATAAGCTCCCCTTAGTCTATGCTATCTAGACTAAGACAAGTAAAAATAATTCCTTTCCTCAACCAAACTTCTGAGATGACCTATACTTTTTTAAAAATCAATCAAACAGAAAAAGAAAGATGGACATTTCAAATCAAAGCAATTATGATGCTCCACCAAGATGAAATATATTGAGGATAAGAATAAAACAATCCCAATTAAAATAATAATAAAAAGTATGTCCTTTCAGTTGAGAAAATTCAGAAAGAGCTTCCCTTGTTACTCGGGAGAAACACCCCTCTCCCTAAAAAACAACCCAGATTCATGCCACAAATTCATTCTTTTCTAAAAACCACGCTAATAAAATCTCTCACTTTCATCATGGATAATTCATAAAAAACAAACAACGGTTCAACAGCATCACTAAAATATGCTATATAGCTTAGTGCAAAATTATTAGTAAAGATTCTATTCTTATAAAGTAGAAACATAATTAAAAGGTATTGCTATAGTAATCAAGTACCTAATAATGTAAATAATAATCCATAATAATTAAGTAAAAGAGATTGTCATAGTAACAAGTAGAAAATATGTGGTTATTAACATTGAATCAATACAGATATTTCTGCTTTTCCTTACCATTTCAGCGTATGATTTCTAGAAGAAAATGTGCAGAAATCGTAGAGTGCCAGCAAAAACAAATGCCTAAGGAGAGACTTTTTTCTTTTTTAAGTTAAAACATGATAAATAAGATTTATTCTTGGAAAGGGAAGGGGAAGGAGGACCAAAAACAACAGATGTTGTTTCTGAAATGTTCAGGGCTATTTTCATCCATGCAGAACCAATCTAGAGGCCCCAAACCCTGTCAGATGGAACTTGAGTCTTAAAATATATTGAAACTGAGAAACGAATCTATCACCATCTGCTCCCTTAACATCCCAGAATGTTCTATTTTCTGTCTGGCTATTTTAGTTTCACCCACCAACCACCCAACTGCAAATAAACACATTAATTCTGGGGGGAAAAAAAAGAAAAGAAAAAGAAAAAACTATACTGATTTTCTATTTTTCCTATTTTATCTAACCAGCATTTTATCTTGCTTTCTAACTTCAGTCTGTTTAAAGGCAATTATGTAACCATTTTATTTTGTACTAACAATTTTACTTTACTACAAATCTCATCTTTGGTTAAATCGGAGATTTGAGCTGATTTCCCCTAAACTTAATTCAGAGGCAGGAATCAGTCCAGGAATGAATAAGACACTGTCTTCAGTAAATCCCATAAAGAACAGGAGTTATGACTAACCATCAAAAATAACAGAAAATAACAGAGATAGAATGCAGTGATATGTTAAAGATTATCTAATTCCTTGCGGCATAACAGAAACCTTTAACCATCTGAATATGCTACATGAAACAAGGTCTTACAAAAGGCCATTTCAGAATTCTTTAAGTCTTTCTTTAAAATGCCATGAGACTTTTTTCCCCTCTTCTACAGCAAAGTAATATATAACAGAGAATTCAAGCAAACAGCAAAAAAGAAATGAAAGAATTAATATTCCGATCTGTGGAAGGGTAACTAGAATTAAAGTAATGGATGACAAAAGGAATAGGAATGGCTGTCTGTAGAAAGACAGACAACAATTCGGCAGAGAGACAGATTTACACTTTGAAAATGATGCGTCTAAGATGCGATTCTGTTTCTGCATTGAAATAATTGACCCACTGGTAAACAGAAGAAGAATTAAGAAAGGAGTGACTATCTCATTTCTGACACTGGATATCTGACATTTTCATCTTGTGGTTCAGAAATTTTAGAAATTAAAAACATTGAGAGAATAGAAGAGTGAATATCTTCAGAGGAGGCAAAATCCTCCCCAAACAGTAAACCGCTTCATACTTATATGAAACGTATATAATTTAGAAAAATTTAGATTTACCTGTGGTAACTGTGACTGGTGTTCCATTTCCCCAGTAGTAAAATACACAGTGATAGAATTACCTGTCAACAGTGTCCTTAATCCTTTGCGGTCACTGTAGACTGGACTGGAGTAATATTAAGAAAATCTCACTCTAGATTCCTTTTCTCCCCAAGTCCTAACTAAACCCTTCCTCACTTCAAATGAGATTTGTTGTTTCCACTCATCTTTTAGAACAAACCTAATAAAATTTCAACCTGATAGCATCTTTCTTCTCTATTTCTAGAGCGGGCAAACATATTTTTTTGTAAAGGACATCAAGAGCCCAATTTTGTTCGCAACCATCTTCCTAAATTCTTGCAGATGGATAGGAGATGATAGAGCAGCATTTTAAAAGAAAGGAAGAAAAAAAGAATGCGGGTAAAGAAAGGAGAAACCAGGGTAATTTTGATCTTTGCTACCGATTCAGTTCTTCCTGAATTCTGGTGAATCCAAAGAAAATAGCACTAAAATCACAAAGAAAAATTTAAAAGAATATCTTAGAAAAGAAAAATTGTTTTTACCTGTTGTGACAGTGACTGGGGTGCCTTGTCCCCAAACGTCAAGCCAGCTGTCACACTGGAAAATTCTTAGGAGGAACCGATTCAAGAACTTCAACTCATTAGTTATCCTGACGTAACGTTAAGGATTAATTTATTGGCAGTCAATGGACTGCGATGGCAAGAACTTTGAACTCATCAGGTGTAGAAGAATTCTCCAAAAACATTTCTTTTGCAGGTTCTCTTTTAACCTATTTAAAATTTCAGCCTAAAGACAGCTAAGGGACCTAAAAATACAGATTGTTCTAGGGGAGAATTCATGTTGCATGTCGGCAACTCCGTAACCAATTTTCTGCCTGTTTGACTGAAGTACAGCTTTCTGTCAAGTGGGCCGTTTGGGGACTTCAGTGGATCCTATCAGAAATACAGTCGATTCTCCTGAAATTAGGGGTCACCCTCTCTGTTTCCAGAATGTGCTCCCCAAAAGGATTGCTCCTGTCTCAGAACTGGAACAGTCCCACAGACAAAAGGTTTAGGGATGTCATCTCAAAAATTAAAGCAAAAAGCAAAAAGGAAATAAAATCCAAATTAAAACAGGAAGAAATAGAAGGAATAAAAAAACAAAACATACCTGAGGTGACTGTGACTGTTGTTCCTTGGCCCCAGTGATCAAAGTAGTCACATCATGTCACCCCTTCCTATGCCATGTACAAAAACCTAGTAAGGAATTACTTTGCTTTTTCCAGCCCACAAAAAAGGGCTTCATCCTAATTTAGACAAGCTCCATACCAAAATAGCCTTCGAATAGCTTCAGAAGACAAAAGTTGCACAAACATTGCTCAGGACTCACCAAATTACTGAAAGAAAAGAGTTTTCTGGTACATTAAGAGAAAAATACATGTTGGGGCAAAGCTGTTCTAGACTTCGTTACTTAGTTCTGGAGATGCGTAGTCTTTAGATCTGAGATGAGACTGTTGCTTGTTTGATGTTTGGTTGCCACAGAGAAACTCCAACGCTTGATGCCTTAATATCG